TTTTTAAGTATCTTGATGGACTCAAGCAGTCAGTACCTATTTGTGTTCATCTGGGATGACTATATACCTAGGTGGTTTTAATCTATAGTTACTTAAAAAATCCTACATATTTTTTTCGTATAGTAAAGTCTGATTTGGCTTAATTAGTCTTTTAAGGAGAATCTACAGTCATACAACATGTAAATGATTATTTTTTGCTCTCCAAGTTTCTAATGATGACGGCATTCATCTTTTAAAACAGCTAGCTCTAAGTGGACATCAAGTCTTCAAAGATAAACTTCAGTTCTGTCAAGCCCAAGAGAAATGCATCTTGGACATCTAGTTTCCTAATTATTAATAAATCCAGATAGAATCAAAGGTATCCTAGCATTCCCTAACCTGGACATGCCCTCTTGAAGGCAAATGAACCAGACCTTGCCATACAGAATCATAAAGGTAGCCATGCAAACAAAATCTTGTAAATGTCCTAACTCTAGGACACCTATTAGACTTGTCCGTCCCTTTGTTTGTACATAAGGACAAGAGAAATGCTCCTTGGACTCTAACTCAAAAACACGAGGACCAATGGACTCATGGGGGGGACTACAGCCTACAATCAAATACAGTAGAGCTAGGGGCTTGCTACTCTGCATGAGAATGATCCTAGCCAGTGTTATGCTTCTCCAAGCACTCAAGAAATCATATGGCTTCTCCTCTATCTATGTCCCCTACTCTCTTAAAAAATCTCTTAGGAGCTAGCAACTGGTGCAGAATAAAGCAGCAGTTAGAGACAGTCGAAACACATCTAGGGTGGCCCATGATTTTGGACTGCTCTGGAAAAATGGATTCCTGTTCTCTTCAGGATAGCCTATTAAAAATTGCCAAAACCGTTTAGCTCTTTTAGACATGATTCTAAAACCTAAATCTCAAGGCATTATAAAAATTTCTGGACATTCACAACTAGATACTCCTGAAAGTAAAGGGAACCATTTCCCAGGTGCTTACAGTTAAAAATGTGGTTTCTCTAAAGACTATTTTGTACTAAAACCCCAGAAATCTTGACTTGTCTTTATGGCTGCATATACTGTTTAAAACTCTATTAAAAGGAGGCACAAGAAAGTCTCTTGTGGCAAAGAGAGGTGTTCTGCCCTGAAAGAGGCTGATGGTATAAGACCACATGAGAAAGTACCCTCTCTCCCCTAGACAATGAAATGTACTAAAGGAAAAATAAAAACTCAATCCTGTTCAATCTTTTTCAGTCAAAGGCTCTGCTAAACTTCTTCTGTCCTCAGTGGGGAGAATTAGCTGTCTCCCTTTGAGATAACAGGAAAACATATGTGTTTGATGAAAGAGCAAGAATAATACATTCTTAATTATTTCAGTAGTGAGCTCCAGGGAGATAAAGGAGCAAAGACCATAGTCTAAAACCTAGAGATTCTATCTAATGGAGATGCCATCAAATTTAAGACTCCTCTCCACCCCCACCAACACTGAACCTATCAGGTACTGTTAACCAATCCTTGTGCAGCTAAACTTAAGGAATCATGAATCACAAATTCACATTTTTAAAAGGCTTCTTATCCACAATGGACCTCCATGCTCATCAATGAACAACTGATGTGGACACAAAACTAATCACCTCAGTTTTTGGACCAGGATAGGAAGATGGAATCTGTGTGGCCTGATTCTTCTCAATATCACATGGCTCAACTATTTGAAGTTCTGTTCTTTTCTATTTTATTTTGGAGAATACTTGCTCTTTTATGTCTGTCAGACTACAGGACTTACTACCTTTTGTTAAGTTGTAAAATGTCTCTAGTTTATCTCTCCTCTTCCATTTTGCTTCTAGCTTGGGAAGGTAACATTTTAGTTAAATAACCCCAAAGCGTGGCTCAAGGAGGAAAGCCAACCAGTTGCTGAATCTGCTGTAAGATCCCCTAGTCAATACATAAACAACACAGGCTCCTGGTGATCTCTAGTACAACTAAATGACAATCTCCCATGCCACAGGAGCCACAGACCTCCCATTGTCAGACTTAGCCCTCTGAGTAGACCGCTCAGGTGACAGACACCCCCATACTGTGTTTTACATTCTCCCAACATCCTTTCTCTTTTCAGTAACTTTTTCACTCCTGGTCCTCCATGATCCTCTTGAATCAACAGATAAGTAACTAAAAAAGGTAGGCCTCTGACTTTATACGTTTATTCTTTCTGTAGGTTATCATCTGGGTGGCTTTCTGTAAATGGAGACATGCTAGTGATCCTTGGTTTGGTAAGGTGCTTTCTATCTCACTCAGGAACAATACCATTGATACAGATGCCCCTGAGAAAGACCCCGTGTCTTACTAGGTCTCATTTTTGTCTGTAGCACAGAAGAGACCTCTGACTCAGGATGAAAACATTGATGTTTGGCTAGGGGCAAGTAAAGGGTCCCATCTGTCAAGACATTTCATAACTCCTCCATCAGTTCACAAAAGCACACAATGACGAGTCTTCCCCTCCCAAACCTTTGGCATCTTAAAAGGGAAATATTAGCTGAATATGACAGAATATGGGATGGACCCCAGTGGGCAATTTTTCTTTCTTTCTTATCCACAATGGACCTCCATGCTCATCAATGAACAACTGATGTGGACACAAAACTAATCACCTCAGTTTTTGGACCAGGATAGGAAGATGGAATCTGTGTGGCCTGATTCTTCTCAATATCACATGGCTCAACTATTTGAAGTTCTGTTCTTTTCTATTTTATTTTGGAGAATACTTGCTCTTTTATGTCTGTCAGACTACAGGACTTACTACCTTTTGTTAAGTTGTAAAATGTCTCTAGTTTATCTCTCCTCTTCCATTTTGCTTCTAGCTTGGGAAGGTAACATTTTAGTTAAATAACCCCAAAGCGTGGCTCAAGGAGGAAAGCCAACCAGTTGCTGAATCTGCTGTAAGATCCCCTAGTCAATACATAAACAACACAGGCTCCTGGTGATCTCTAGTACAACTAAATGACAATCTCCCATGCCACAGGAGCCACAGACCTCCCATTGTCAGACTTAGCCCTCTGAGTAGACCGCTCAGGTGACAGACACCCCCATACTGTGTTTTACATTCTCCCAACATCCTTTCTCTTTTCAGTAACTTTTTCACTCCTGGTCCTCCATGATCCTCTTGAATCAACAGATAAGTAACTAAAAAAGGTAGGCCTCTGACTTTATACGTTTATTCTTTCTGTAGGTTATCATCTGGGTGGCTTTCTGTAAATGGAGACATGCTAGTGATCCTTGGTTTGGTAAGGTGCTTTCTATCTCACTCAGGAACAATACCATTGATACAGATGCCCCTGAGAAAGACCCCGTGTCTTACTAGGTCTCATTTTTGTCTGTAGCACAGAAGAGACCTCTGACTCAGGATGAAAACATTGATGTTTGGCTAGGGGCAAGTAAAGGGTCCCATCTGTCAAGACATTTCATAACTCCTCCATCAGTTCACAAAAGCACACAATGACGAGTCTTCCCCTCCCAAACCTTTGGCATCTTAAAAGGGAAATATTAGCTGAATATGACAGAATATGGGATGGACCCCAGTGGGCAATTTTTCTTTCTTTCTTTTTTTTTTTTTTTTACCAATTGCAGGAGACATGATCCTCAATCTGTCCAACACCATGGGGCAAATTTCTGAAGACACTGCAAAAAAAAAAGCATTACAGGACAACAAAAATCTTTAGAATAATTAGCCTGTGTAGCTTTTCATAACCAAACAGCACTCAATTATTTACTAGTTAAACAGAAAAGGGTTATGTGTAGTAGCCAACACTTGATACACTTACATCAAGACCTCGGGAGAGATAGAAATCCAATTGGAGAGAATTACTCAAAAAGCTAACTGGTTGCTGATGTAGGGAATTTTTTAAGAAGACCCCTTCCATGACTTGTGATGCTGGCTGCTTACAGGCCTTGGCTCTGTTTTCCAGGCAATACTACAACCTATTGCTGTAACCCTTGTAAGTATTTTTGTTATCTTTTTCAATTTTAAAGATGATGCTTTGTATCCTCACCTGTTTGATGTTTTAGACTGCTACGTTGATAGTAACTGAAATAGCCTCAAATGGGATGATTTATACAAACAAAAGTTTATTCAGTTCACAATTCGGAGGTCTTAAGGTCCAGGAGCTATACCTGGTGGGGTTTTTTGGTGAGATCCTTAGGTGTCAAATTATGAGGACAAGAGCAGAACAGCTGTCTGTAATTCTTGCTGGTCTTCCCTCTCCTTATAATAAACCCACAAGAACTCAATGGTGGGGACACACTCTAACAATCTAAATCTAAATCTCCTCCTATTCAACACCATAACAAGATTGTTTACTCTTTCATCTCATCCCAACCATATCTCAACACATGAATTTTAGGGGACACTTAAAATCACAACGAGGCCTAAAGACAATCTCTAAAACTAGAATTATAGTAGCTCAACATCTGGAGATGACACAAAATAGTATGGCCCTTGCAGAAACGGATGACTGGCCAGATTGCCATCACTCTGCTGCTCTGTTGTCTCATCCCAGGACCCTTATGATGGTCTTAATCAAAAGGCCTCTTTTTTGCTGTGAGGCAACATATGATTATCCTGAGGTGAGCCTTCCAAGTAACAACGGACAAGGTTCATAAAATCGCTTTAAAGAACAAAGACCTTGGGGGACCAGCAGTTAGCGTAATGGCTAAGTCGCTGGATTCCCATGTGGTTGACTGAGGTTTGCATCCCGGACCCGGCAGCTTAAACTCACACCGGACGTGTGTGCGTGCGTGCGTGCCTAAAATCTTGAGAGGAGAATAGAGGAGAAGGGATTGTAGCATGGCCATCCCCCCTGGGGGGGTGACCTCTTGCTTTCTGTCTCTGTCTTTCTGGCGAGCACCATGTGCCCTGTAGCAAAAACCTCTCAAAACAAAACAAAACAAAACAAAAACAAACAAAAAACCCGAAGACCTCACTCAAAGGGGGAAATCAGAGAGTAACGCAGCTTAGAATCAATCTGTACAAGGTGAGACTCATTTTAATTTTAATGGATCTAGTAAGAAGTGGGCCTGAGACACTGGCCATATATCCATAACCATGTCAAGACGGTTTAAAATAATACTTTGTAACTAACTGACCTGCAAGTGGTAATAAATTTACAATGTGATCTCTCGCCCCTTTTTCCCATTATAATTCTCCTGGAATTTATGATGCAAAGAATAATGAATGTATAGCCAATCGGTTTTCTGTGTCATTGTAAATGGATCAATGTGGTTTCTCACCAAAGAATTTTTATTTCTCTTTTGACCCTTGTTTTAAGACACAGAAACAAGCCCTCTACTTGTTTTAGTGCACAAATCCTAGGCAACGGGGATCTGTGCCACCTGGGTGACTCCGTCCAAAGCCTTGAATCAAATAAATGGCTTCCATTGCACACACTATGCCTCAGTCCCCTTTCTGTAGGCTGACACCTTCAGCGGCCCTGCTGTGCTGCACACCCCACTCACCGGTATAGATGCACAAATGGAGACTCAGGTTCCCTTGGGCAGAAGGATGGACAGACCTGGAAATGCCCTGTGGGGGCAAGGTGGAGACACTCAGGCCCTGCCCAATGCTAGCCCCACCCTCCCTGGTAGGCCCACTACTCACAATGAAAAAGAGGATTTTGCTGATGGGAGTTTCATTATTTCTAGTTCACAAGTGAGTTATCTCTCCATGGCCCCTTCCTCAACACCATGGGGTCCAGGGTCACCCCCACCTCAGCCACAGGAGCCCCACATCTTGTGCCACTGAGGCTGTTTCCCTGATCCTTTCCTGGTTAAAATCTCCAGCAGTTCCTCTTCCTCGCCTTTTGCTTTTGGTTGTTTCCATCACCTCCTTTCCACATCTGATGCTGTAAGATCCTGTTCAAAGATGGCTTCTCTCTTTTTTAACCGTTGGTGGACAGTTCCAGGACACCACATCTTCTCGCTAGCCCTAGTATTCTGTAGACCTTGGTCCTCTCCTGAAATCCCCTTCACTCTTGCATCTTGCTGGGGCCCAACATTGCCATTCTCAGGTCTCTCATAGTCAACGTCTCAGGGAAGCCCATGAGCCCCAGACTGTAGGACTTCACTATCCTTCCCCTCCGTGCAGTCTCTGGTGTCTATTTTCCAAGTTCTCAATGATTTACTAAATTGTGTGCTTACAGGCTCTTTACAGCTTGGATTGTTAGCTGATTTTCTCAAGACTCAGTTTTCTGATATAAAATCTCAGAATTCTACATTTTGATTTTAGGACTGCTTATCTCCTCAGCAAGAGAACTTCAGTGTTGTCTACGAAGCAACTGTCACTTAAGATTTTCTTGCATTTATGCCACTGACAGTATAGGCCAGTGTGAAGCCACGAGTGTCCCAAATGTTGCTCTATAAATAAGGACTTGTCATTTTAAACTAAATCACATCAGAAGAAGGAATTACATGGTATACTTCAAGAAGCTTGAACCTCTTACTTTTTAAAATCAGATATTCATTCCTTGAATCTTTTTGTACACAGCAAGCCTGGTGTTTGGCTCATTTGTTTTGAAACCAAGGGGTTTTCCCAAGTGGTTTCTGCTCATGCTGTTTAACAAAAGTATATAGAGGCATCTTGACACCGATTACACATCTAGGTAGGGGTTCTTCCCTGTGCAAGTCCTCTAGTGTGCTAATGCTGAGAGGTATTGCTAAAAACATCTACATTCACTATTATTACAGGGGAGGTTATCTCATGCCATCTATTACAAACCACTGACTGATTTACTACAGATAATTTATATATATGGCTTATCATCCTTCTGAATTTGTTTATGTCAAATATGAGTAAGGATGACTGCAGAATCTTCCACATAGATTTCATTGTTTCTTCAATGTGTGCATCTTCAGATGTTTTTCAATTTTACAAGTATGGGTTAAAGACTTCCAGATTTATTGCATTTATAATACTGAGTCACCTTACATCATAATATATACTGAAGGTTATTTATTATTCTCTACTGTGTGCTTTCTCATGCCATCTTAAAGATCTGGTGAAGGTTTTCCCATACATATTAGTATTCATACTGTTCCTATCTTGTGTGCATCTTCTCATGTCATCTAAGATCAGAAAATCTGCTGAAGGATTTTTCACACAGATTGTACACATATAGTTTCTCTACTGTGTGTGATCTCGTGCTGTCTAAGGTTAGAAGACTGGTTAAAGGCTTTCCCACACAGATGGCATTCATATGGTTTTTCACCAGTGTGGGTTCTCTCATGCTGTCTGAGGGCAGAAGATTTGCAGAAGGCTTTCCCACACAGATGACATTTATATGGTCTCTCTCCAGTGTGGATTCTCTCATGGCGTCTAAGGTCATAAGACTGACTAAAGGCCTTCTCACAAATATTGCACTTGTATGTTTTCTCTTTACTGTGTGTTCGCTCATGCAGTCTAAGTTTAGAAGACTTACTGAAGCCTTTCCCACACAGGGGGCACTCATATGGTTTTTCTCCAGTGTGTATTCTCTCATGATATCTAAGAGCAGAAGAGTTAGTAAAGGCTTTCCTACACAGATGGCATTGATACGGCTTCTCTCCACTATGCGTTCTCACATGTAGCGTAAGGGCATAAGACTGACTGAAGGCTTTCCCACATAAATGACACTTGTACGGTTTCTCTCCAGTGTGCATTCTCTCATGTCGCTTAAGATGAGAAGAAGTACAGAAGGCTTTTTCACACAGATGACATTCATATGGCCTCTCTCCAGTGTGAGTCATCATGTGTTGTCTAAGGTTATAGCAATTAGTAAAGGCTTTCCCACAAAGATGACAGTCATATGATTTATGACTTCTTTGATTTTCCTTCTTTAAATTAAGGTATAAGTAGTCACAAAGGGGTCCATGCTGTTTGCTGACAACAGGTTTCTCTGCTGTGTGAGATGATAAATTTTGAGTCAATGTAGAGTTGTGAGTCAAATCATTTCCCAAATCATTCCACGTCAATAGATCTTGAGTATGAGAAATCTGCTTTTATAAAGAAGATGAAAGGTTGATAATGATTTGTCCATGTACATCAATACATTAATTTTCCTACACATGAATTACAGACTAACCATGAATTACAGACTAATCATATTTGCATACACATGGTGGGTTACTCTGTAGCAGGCCAAAGATTTTCTATTATGTACCATCCCATTTGAAATACTCTTATATTATTTCTGAAAACTTCAATACATTCCAGGGAGATGAGGTATATGAACAATGAGTATGCAAATGTACATATTTGAAATCTCAGGTCATGGATTTAAACTCATGTTAATTTTGTCACTAAGGTCAAATGATTCAAAATGTTTGGCTTGGAAAACATTGAATCATCATTTAATTTACAGCCAGGTAACTGTGCTTAATTATTAATATATTCTATTGAATGAGCAGAGCGCAGATTCATGAAACTTACCATTGACATAATGGTAGGTGTGTCCTCACTGCCAATATGTTGCATGGGTATCATTTCTTGTTTCCTATGTGCACTTTCCCAGTCTATAATACCAAAAAAATTTAACATGGCATTAGGGAAACAAAAATACAGAAAAGCATTCAGGCTCATGTATTTTTCTTTTCTTTCTTTTTTTTTTTTTGGGGGGGGGTAGATTTTTGTGATAGGGCGTGTGTGCTCATCAGAGAGATAGAAAGTGAGAAATCACACCCCAGGAGGGATGGTCATGCTGCAATCCCTTGTCCATTCTCCTTTTGGGATCTTGGGTACACATGCGCACAAGTGCCTGTCCTGAGTTTAACCCACCAGGTCTGGGACTTGAACCACGATTGACCACATGGGAGTCCAGTGACATAGCCATTACGCCAACTGCTGGTCCCAGGGCTCACATATGTTTTAAAAAGGAACAAATGTTGGGCCAGTGGGTGGCATAGTATTTAAGGTACCTGATTCCACAGAGCTGACTCCATGGTTCGAGTCCTAAACCTGGTGTCCTGAAAAACATGCCGGGGCTGAGTGCATGTATGCCCAAAATCCCATGAGGAGAATGGAGAAGGGACTTCAGTATGGCCATATACCCCAGGTGATTTCTCATGCCCCCTTTCTCTTCCCCTCTCAGGTGAGTGCACTTGCCCAATGACAAAAAATACTAACAATACAAACAAACAAAATAACAAAAACTTCAGGGAAGAGAAATACATCACGGAGTTTAAAAAAAAAATTACTTTTTAAGATATGTATTAAATTTGACCAGAGAAGGACAGAGAGAGAAAGTGAGAAAGCAAGCCGCCAAGTCCAAGACTCGAACTATTGTCGGTCATGTGGGAGCCCAGCACCCTTAATCACCACACCACCTGCTGGCCCCCATTACAGTATTTTGACAACTAGAAAAGATTTTCAATGCAGTAACATAGGAATTATAAAATGATGGGTAGGTAAAGAGTATGCAAATGTACATGTTTGAAATCTCAGGTCATGGATTTAAACTCCAGGAGGATTAGGACAAGAGTCACTTTATGAAAATTTATCTCCAACAAATATATTACTAATCACTTTTCTTAAAGCTAAAACAAAGGCAGGTGGACACATACATTTTGATTGATATATGAAAGGAATAACAATTCCTAAATAAATTTTGTCCCAACGTCTTCTGTTGCAGTTTAGAAAACATATTCACTTAACAAATTCTGCAGCTGATAACTCCAAAGGAGAGGCTTACTGACTCGCTCACTTGCAAGTTCCAAGTCCCTGAAGCTCACCTGGACTCTGGCATTCAGGCAATCCTCTTCCTTCTACCATCCACAGCAAGTGGAAAATCAAATCTGATTGGCAGAGATCATATCCTGTTCATGGGAAAGAGCACATGGATTTTGAGTGTTGTGCTA